CAACCCATGCTTGCCGTAAAAGGTGACTATGCTTATCGTAAAAGGCGACTAACGGGATCGGGTGGTCAGGTTCGTTGACTTGGTTGATGCATGTCACTGGATTGTCTGGTCCAGACTCGATTATTTACAGACCGCCGTCATATAGCTGGAATATTGTGCGGCGTTAAACAACAAACAAACCAACCAACCAACCAAATCACATTTGGTCGATGCTCATGATGTCAATCACTGGATTATCTGGTCCAATTGTTCGGAGACCACGATCCGGATGATTACCATGAACATCCACAGGGCCACATGTCAAATGATCCGAACTGAAGCATATCCAATCTATTCCAACCATAGGTTCAAATAAACAGCATTGGTTATACCATTAATATACACTTTAATCACGTAATATACTGTTGTTGTTACATCCTAATTATATATAGTGAGAGAGCGGAGCGTGACCAAACAGTGGAGGGTGGACACAGTGTGGGTTTATCGTTGACGTGTTGCTGTACATATCATAATCCATGACGGTCTCCATGGTGTTCACAATATGGGTGTGTATCCTTCATGGTATTCTATGCGTCCAACTGTGGACTACATGTAGAACATCAAAAGGAGATATTTCTTTGACGATTTCAGAGACCAAAATTGTCGTGATTCGGATGGTGCATTAAGATGAACAATCACAAGCTAATATTTTATGGGAAATGAACCGAATGCAAAACTAAATTGAGGTCATCGGTTTCTGTAAAATGCAATTTTAAGTATTACAATGTCTATATTAACATTCAGCTATACAGTGGGATTATTATTATTATGTGCAGATTAAAATAAAAAATGCAGCAAGAGGGTTTTGGTGATCCTGGCACAGTTAGGCTGGTTAGGCTCATCATCAGCTCAGGGCCCTTGCCCCCTCTACACGGAGCCCAGACAGCGAATGGGACTTCTCCCAGGAAGCGCAGCCTAGTCAAACCCACCCAGAACTTCTGTATTACCAAGATTGTCAGAAGGGCTGTATTCCAGGCAGCAAACCCGGGTACTCTCCCAATGTCAGTCAACAGATTGGAGGGTATCAAACCTAAGGCACCGAGAACAATGGGGAGTCGGACAACTTGGTACTTGGGATGCAAGCGTGACATTTCGAAAGCGAGGTCCGCATATTTGCCATGTTTTTCCTCAATCTTGACAATCACATTTGTTTCAATATTATTGTTATTATACCTTGTCTGCCAAGCGACGGGAACGTCCGTAGTCAGGTAAAGGAACATTGGTGATAACAGTGATTCGTTAATCCGGATAATGATCCGGTTAATCCGGATAATAGCCAACAGCCATTGCCCTTTACGTAACGTTAAACAATTATAGCCACCAGGAAGATGGGGTGTCCGGATCGACCAACAACAATGGATGTGTGATGTGTCACGTGTTCGCAGACTGCCATCATCAATCAAACCTTCTTCCCTCACATCCCGTCTTTTATATTCTCAACTCCCAAAGGATTATATGTTTTACGTTAACACTGATAGGAAATATCATTCCAGAAGAAGCAAAGGTCAAATGAAAGGAATCCGAGCCTCATCCCCCTTTAACGATTTGTATTGCCATACGTGTGTCTCACATTACCCCGGAGCGTTGTCAGTAAATATTCAATGGTATGCTATTAGATGGACGACTTCATGACCCACACCGCAACTATGTGATGGGTCCATATACCAATGATTCTAAGTACTCATGCGGCTTTTACTGTTATTGGTTGTATTTGGACAGGTGTTAAACATAATCACTGACAACTGCTTTTACACGTTCGCTAGATCTCCTCCGCTGATTGCTGGGTGCTTCTCTCAGAACACGTTGATGTACGGTTACATCCCAAGGTGACACGTGTGACCGAATCGCCTAAGGTGCCATAGTTTGCTGTGCATAGTTACGTCCCTTTGGTGTGACAGAATCATGTGATCATGATTTCGAATCTTACATGCTAATGATAAAGTCCGAATTGTACAATGGATTCTGCTTCTGGCAGAGATTATTTTATTTTTGAAAGGGTTTTGTCGCTTTATTTATTTGGTTATATTTTGCTTTGTCCTATTTGAATTCTTTTTATAAACACGTTTACGGTTTGTACATGTAAAACTAAGGATTTGAATTTACTGTTATTCTAATTCTTCGAACATAATGGTCACAATTATATTCCAATGTCCCCGCGTTCATTGAGTGACAAACCAACCATTAATCCGATGATGGGTTGGTTGGTTGGTTTGTTGTTTAACGCCGCACTCATCAATATTCCAGCTATATGATGGCGGTCTGTAAATGATCGAGTCTGGACCAGACAATCCAGTGATTGACATCATGAACATCGATCCACGGGTGGCATCCTTGTTAGTATCAGTTTTACTAAGGACTAGTTACGGTATCCTCCCAAAATGCATAACTTTCAAAACGTAGAACCACTAAAACAGGAATTATTACGCTTGATTGCACAACCATTCTCAAACATAACATCTCAGTCATAGTCGTGGCCTAGTCGTCTAAGGCGCCGCGATTCGCTGTGCAGAGTTGCGTCCCTTGGGCACGCCAGAAACCTATGATTGTGGGTTCGAATCCCGGTTCGTCCCGATTATATTTCTAGGTTTGTTGCACTATACCATGCTCGTGAGTTCACCGAAGTGGGAAACGTTTGAGACCTGCATCACTTCGGTCTTTCCTCCCACATTAAGCTGACACGCCACGATATAACTGGAATACTGTTAAAACCAACTCACTCACTCACTCTGTGGCTGCAATTTCAAAATCTGTCTAGCTGGGGCCAAAGGTCTGTTAAGTATCTGCTGGACATGGGTCTTCCGATTGAAGAGTTTAAGGGTTAGTCATGCGGGATAAGCCATTTATGCTGATTTCATGTACTATATAAACAATGAGTTCATTAATTGACAGAAAAATGATAAACCCCTGAGAATTCAAAGAGTTTAATGATTTGCCGTCGACTCTGGCTTCATCCGTTCCAGTTCTTGTCAAAATATAACGACCAATTGTCCTTTATACATTTATTCTAATTACAGGAACTTCAAACTCCATAAGGCATCTGGAATCCTGGAATGATTCATTCGTTAATTAGGTGTGGCTGCATGCTTTATGTAATGGAAATCAATTTCCTGTTTCCGTTTTGGGCGTGAACCCTAATTACCTGTATTCACATGCTAAGTGAGTACTTCCTTACTCATCAAGGGGGCACGGGTGGCCCAGTCGTCTAAGGCGCCGCGATTCGATGTGCAGAGTTGCGTCCTTTGGGCACACTAGAAACCTATGATTGTTTGTTCGAATCCTGGTTCGATTATGTTTCTAGGTTTGTCAGCACCATACCCGTGCTCGTGGGTTTCACCGAAGTGGTAAACGTCTGAGACCTGCATAACTTCGGGCTTTCCTCCCACATTAAGCTGACACGCCGCGATATAACTTAAATACTTATAAAAGCGACGTGAAAACCCAACTCACTCACCCACTCCCTACTTATCAAGGATGTCCCTTGTTATATAGTTTCGTCTAACCACGTAATTTAATAAGCAGCATATTCTCAACCAACATGTCATCAATCTAATCACATGCTTCCGTTGTATGTTAACATGCTTTTGTGAAGACTTCATACCGCCCATCGGAGTTGATGGTTGAATGTTGTAACTAATATATGGGTATGGCTATAAGTAAGACTAAATACTGGCGCAAATTGAATCAGTACGACCCCACGTTGTTTTCTTGTTGAGAATAATATGATATAAGGCTATCCATAGCTTAGGCCATGGTATGATTATGTATGGATTATGGTTAATCTGTGAGGCAGGAATCAGGTGGTACATGTGCTGGGCGTAGAAATATATTTCTCTTTGTACTGGAAGGAAGCACGGCATTGTGCCACTCAACTTTTGATTGGGATATTTATTTACAACTGTTAAGTAATATATATCTTTAGCAACTTGCGCAGATCGTATGTAACTGTGCCGCGTATATTGCAAACCTCCAGATACCTACCGCAATCTGTATGTAAAAGCATGATATAGCTATCTACCACAGTCTGTATGTAAATGTACCGCATAACTATCTACCACAGTTTGTATGTAAATGTACCGCATAACTATCTACCGCAGTCTGTAATTAAATGTACCGCATACCTATCTCCCACAGTCTGTATGTAAATGTACCGCATAACTATCTCCCACAGTCTGTATGTAAATGGTACCACATACATGTAGGTATCTACCGCAGTCTGTATGTAAATGTACCGCATAGGTATCTACCGCAGGCTGTATGTAAATGTACCGCATAACTAACTACCGCAGTCTGTATGTAAATGTACCACATAGCTATCTACCAATGTATGTAAATGTACCGCATAGGTATCTACCGCAGTCTTTATGTAAATGTACCGCATAGCTATCTACCACAGTCTGTATGTAAATGTACCACATAGCTATCTACTTCAGTCTGTATGTAATACGCCGCATATATTGTAACGCTATACCGCAGTTGAATGAGTAGACCTCAGTTAACATATGGCGTGTACATTTCAATCCGTCAGCTGTAACCGCAATTTACATGAATGTAAACATCGTGCATATCGCAACCCTAGGGCAAATAATGTTTACAAGTTTGTTAATTGGGATACCTTACAGCTTCGAGATGTGTATTTTATATCAGTAAAAGTGTAATAGTTTACGAAAACGAAACAAGGGACGTCGTTTCGATGGCTTTACTAATGCAGTGTGCACTCAATGCATCCAGCAGAACAAAATGACGTGCAGAAAGGAATATATCACATAAGTATGTGACATTTCATCATCGTTTGATGTCTCTGACTTCAATACCCGAGAGTAACTTAACAATAATAACTATGAGACAAATACATGCGTCATGTTATTAGAAACCTTGCAGCTATAACGATGTATAATTGGAATCACAACTTATTGAGTCAAGTGGATAATTCAAAGAGTCCGCCCGGAGGTCGAAAGTTTGGAGGGTGGAAGATCCTCAAAAGACGTTCAAATATACCTTGCGCTCGACAATAGGCGAACACAACACGGCCTGGACGGATCGAAGTCAGTAAAATGGGTTTGTATTGGGTAGCCATATCAAAGTGTGTATGGTATCTAAGTATACTAGCACTATAAAGTCTCTATAAGCTGGGACTGTTATATTTACAAGCAGCCTCACACAGACGTGTATGCACCTTGCTGTATACGGGCAATAATCTTGAATGTGATGTTAAAAACATTCTGCATCACACGACGATGATCCCCGCTGAGACTATGGTGTCCAGATGAAGAACCAGCCGTCCACGACAACACTACAGCGCCGGTTGACGACTACTGCAACTTTGGCCAGCTGTAGACGCCTGTTGTCGTTCATGACATTAAACCAGTCAATACACACCGTCATGTTACCACTCATGATCACTCAACGGCTACAGCGGTACGTCAATATAGACAGCAGGTGAAATGCAGATGCCACTATTGACAGCGATCGTCGAGTCGTGTCGTGTCGTGGCTGACGGTGTTGGAGACCACAGACTGGAGTATACCTGGTATTCTTTACCAAGGTAAGATTTTTAGGGTGAAATAATTTCGATTACTTGATGATGATTGATTGTTTGTAACGATCCGACCTTGAACTTCCCGTCCACACAGAACATTATCTTATACGGAATTATTCATGTCATAACGTTTGGTTTCTGAGTTGAGTTTGGAAGTACTTTTATATACTTGAGTCAGGTTGTGGTGTTGTTTAAAAGTGGCTATATTCATTACAAGGTTTTGTAGATTCCACATGGCCAAGATATTAACATAAATATATCCCATGTGCGAGGATTTTTTTCGCAAGGTTGTGTGTTTGGCTAAACATATTGACATGGGCCTTCTAGATGCATACACATGTGTATACTACTAAAAACAAGTAGAAACCTCAATCTTTATAAATGGCTATAGATACCTTGTCATTACATTGCTGCAATGTTACATTTATTTACTTATTCATTTATTTATTTATTTATTTATTTATTTATTTATTTATATATTTATTTATTTATTTATTTATTTTTTCCCGGAGAGCGGAAGATCCGGGGTACGTTAAAAGATGGTACTTGTTGTTACCCTGTCTGGCGCTCGGCATTAAAGGCTAAAACAAGGACTGGTCAGCTCGAAGTCAGTATACTGTGTCTGAGAGGGGTATTCATGTTAAACTGCGGCATGGTATCTCATTGGGATAGCATCAATCCGGACTAGTACTAGTACACATACAAACTCGCATGCACGTCGCTATATAAGTGCAATAATCTTAGACGCGACGTTAAACCTCATTTCACCTCACCTATTAACTGTTTCATAAATTATTTACCCCGGTTAACTTTATATTTTACTTTCCTTCCACAAGACCTGAATCCAAGTGATGCTTTGTTGTCTCATTGTATGCTGCCAGTACCCAGTCTAGTTTTGAAAGTTGCAATAACTGCAACATTTGATATAAAATGCAACATATGTAATATCTAACATTAAAACCGTTTGAGATTATCTGTACTTTATCTGTCATTACCTTTTAATCATGAAATAACATCTGAGGTCAGGCACTTTTAAACACGACTAATTCCTTTTCATAGTCATAAGAGATACCTGCTTAAGTCAGAGTTGATGGTACGAATCCAACTATATCATGATCATGTGTTTATGAATTACTAAAAATATAAACACAATCAATGTTTGTTTTGAATAACTTGCATCGGGTATGCTTGACTGGCAACTGGCTCTAACATGGCCTTATTTTAACGACCCGTGAAGATTCCGGGGTAGAATAGGTCTTCAGCAACCCATGATTGCCGTAAAAGGTGACTATGCTTGTCGTAAAAGGCGACTAACGGGATCGGGTGGTCAGGCTCGCTGACTTGGTTCATGCATGTCATCGATCCAAATTGCGTTGACTGATGCTCATGTTATCAATCACTGGATTGTCTTGTCCAGACTCGATTATTTACAGACCGCCGTCATATAGCTGGAATATTGTGCGGCGTTAAACAAACCCACAACCTTATTTTAACGCGGGATGAGCTGGGGGGGGGGGGGGGGGGGGGGGGGGGGGGGGCACGTGATAAAAGAGTTAGGTCGTAAGCCCGGTGTCCATGACTACATTGAGAGACGACCATTTCTGGTGTCAACTACCGGGATGGTACTGGAGGGTCGCTGCGAATGAAATCCCGATGCCTCTCGTCTTGGATTACCACAAGGGTATCGATGATTGGGGTGGCAGCTTGACTGCAATAGCGTGTTGCAATAACGTCAATCATAAGTTAGACCATTGGGACACTTGGTGTCATCATTGATTTTGTCCATTCATACGAATGGCACCACTTGTTTCGTATTTTACGCCCGATGGCATCTCTTTCGTCGGATAATCGAGCCCTGTTGTTCTCAGGAATTGGCGTTATACATTTAGTCAATTGTGCGAAAAACCTCAAAGTATCACATCGGTATGTGTTCCAAATACCTGCAGACTTTCCGTTTGATGCCAAATCGTGGTTCAATATTAATGTCATTAGTTATCATGTCCAGCTGTTCTCGTCATTATTCAGAGATATCGTTGAAGTGATTCATGTTTAGCATTTGTACTTCATGGTCGGATGGGCAGATGTGACAGCGGACAACTACAAATATCGCCAATTCTACGGGCAGTCCGTCTGATATGAAAATATATTACAGTTATCTGCTGTTATTTGACGCCAATACCACAGTAAACATGCGTTCGAATCGAATATTGTAAAACTATGAAATATAGTAAACAGGCTTACAGTGACGTGCTATATTTAGCACCACTGGGTTTTTAAATACATAAGTCCTAATATTGAAGTCGTGCACAGAAAGGGAATTACTTTTTGATCAATTACATCACGTGTGACTTTACGTCTTCCAGTCTTTAGATATCAGTCAATGGCTTCCTTTTAATTGATCATTTTCAAAATATGACAATGACTTCCATCACAAGGTGTTAGAGGATTTAATCTTCAGCACACATTTAGTGAACTTGTTATATTCAAACACGTATGCATATAGTTGTAACCAGGCATTGCAACTGTGAAGAAAACACTCTGAGAGTACACCACAAGTGATATAATGGTATTCCTATAAGTAAATCTTTAAGAAACGCAGGAACAGAGGACAGATATATTCACCTTTTAGCAAACGGACGTGGTCAGCCCTACCGGTAGCAATCGTCGTGAGTAACGGTAAGGGTAACGGTACAATCCCAATACATGTACATTTTGCTCCACCACCACGAAATACAAGCGTACTTTTCTCTCAAATTACGCTTTGGTTGTTTTTATTTTGTTGTTGTTTAGCGCCGCAATCAGCAATATTTCAACAAAAAGACTGTTAGTAACGCTACGTCCTGTTAGTTATCGAATCTATCTGGATCAGATTGATGGTAAAAGCCACGATCCACGCAATCAACCAAATCCCCGAGCCTCATAGGCACAGGTCGCTGGGGCCAGTTCTAACCCGGAATCCCCACCGATGTCCAATAAATGGACGAATGACGTTATTAGCACGAGGGATCAGAGGTAAAATTGTAGTTGTATCCTTCGGCAATCTTAGGCAGAAGATAGTCCCAGCAAGTGGTTGAAAATGCAATCGGGATGTCACGTGATGAAGCTTTTCACAACTTTCACAAGCGAATTTGCATACCGCATGAATTTGACCAATGAAGCCTGTCCTAATTGTCAGACGGTTGACCTACATTAGCCTCACCGTCAGTTGTATGAAGGTCAGTGGTGACGTCACAACTACAGGTTTTCACAAAAACGTCAACCTCATTTGAATCGTGCTCAACGTCCCCAAATAGCATCAAAATGATGTTTGGTCCTTTAAAGCTTATTATAGATGAAGCTGAGAAAAGTCCGTGGGCAAGTGTGCCGTCTTATACGTCTCTCGATAAAGCATGATTTAGTGTGGCGTTTGAACGATGCCATGGTAACAATTAGACTCACATATAGTGTAAGAAATTGTCAATAACGGTTTTATTTAAATGCAGACTAGAGTGAACATACGATCAAAGACAGCATGTTGTGCCTGTAACGGTACATATCCTATTGTTTATACATGTTGTGAATTTGCCCATATGTCTGTTTATCGATCTCCTAGAAACAGCTATAATTGCTGATAATTAAGTGCAACGAACCCCCAAAAGGACTTTGAATAGGTTTAAAACAATCTGTGTATATTTTGTGGATGTGATATCGCACTAATCAATATTGTTTATTGCTTCCTATTGTCACCAAAAGTGTTTTCGTTAATGGTTTTATTCTCATTTTGTCTACATATGCTGGAATATCTGAAATGAGAGTGAGAGAGAGAGAGACAGAGAAAGAGAGAGAGCGAGGGATCCGGAGAGAGAGAGGGGGAGAGAGAGAGGAGAAAGAGAGAGAGAGAGAGAGAGAGAGAGAGAGAGAGAGAGAGAGAGAGAGAGAGAGACTATATTATATTGGTCACACCAGTAACTTCGATATATAATAATGATATAAACATAATTGTGTACTAATACTTACATTGCACTGGTCTCCATACACTTGGTACATGCTTACGGGTCTACGGTTGAACAATGACAATGACTTTATAGAGACAGAAATGTAAAGTGGTGCGTGACACCTATCATGAAAGGTCAATCAATTTCAATTTCAAAGTTGAGAGAGAGAGAGAGAGAGAGAGAGAGAGAGAGAGAGAGAGAGAGAGAGAGAGAGAGAGAGAGAGAGAGAGAGAGAGAGAGAGAGATACCAACTGAGAGACATTCATTACAACAGTGAAATGAACAGTTGACAGAGAGAGGGTGAGTGGCGAGAGAGAGAGAGAGAGAGAGAGAGAGAGAGAGAGAGAGAGAGAGAGAGAGAGAGAGAGAGAGAGATGACACACTTGCGAAAGTGATGTTAGAGCAGCACTGAACCTGACTTCCTACCTGATCGGTTCAGTCTGTGTATGATACACGAGTCAACCTTACAGTTTCGATAAAAAGAAATACTTCCCAAATGATCGCACGTACAAGATGGTTCTACAGTGAGTTGACTGCGGCTTATCTCTGCTAGAGTGTTACGACTCTAGTGCCGGCCTCTCGTATCGGAGCTACCGTTTACAGCGCAGTCGATACAGAAACGACTGTTAGTTTTATTACACCCTTGACCGTTCACGGAAGAGTGATTGACAGATAAAATTCTATTGCAGAAACCTTTCGTAGTTAAAAAGGCCATTATTGCCGGTGTGAGTGATTGTGAATGACAAATGTGTAATCGTCTAAACCGAAGTACGATCCACTAATATTGCAGTTACCACCTACGGCTGTTGTTGAAGTGAGGTTCGGTTAGACCGCTGCCTGACTGTGTTAATGCGGGTAGAAGACTCAAAGTGGTGCAGTCCTAACTTAACTTCAAAAGGTCAACGCCTGAGAATACCAAGTCTCGATTATCTGCCGAAACGGGTTGCACTAGGTCTTGGCTTGTAAACAATATACCCGTGCTAGTGGGTTTCACCAAATTGGTAACCGTTTAATTATATAAGATCACTTCGGGCTTTCCTCCCCAAGCTGTCAAGGGGTGATAGAACTGAAAAACATACTACTTCTACTACAACTACTACTACTACTACTACTACTACTATTACAACTACTACTACTACTACTACTACTTCTACTACTACTACTACTTCTACTACTACTACTTCTACTGCTGCTATCACTACTACTACTTTTTCTACTACTACAGTACTACTACTAGTACTACTACTACTACTACAGTACTACTACTGCTACTTCTATTGCTACTACTACAACAACTACTATTACTACTACTACTACTACAACTACTTCAACTACTACTTCTATTATCACTACTACTCTACTGCTACTACTTCCATTGCTACTACTGCTACTTCTACAACTACAACTACAACTACAACTACAACTACAACTACTACTACTACTACTAACAAAAAAGTATCATAGATGTTCACAAACATCCCTGAAGGATACACGTACAGTAAAACCTCGTCAATACACACAACCTGCCTTGCAGACAAGTCATTCTTGCTTCACGTACTCAACCACCTTAAACACAGAGACCTCCTCAGAGACGGTAAAAATGAAACCTGTATCCTTTTTAATTAGGTTATTTGTCAGCCGATATTTAATGTACGTTACATTAGATGTGACAAAATGTTGCCCAAAAAGGTCAACTAATAAGACGTAATTACATCATTCTTTTTTCTGACTGTGTAAAGAAATGGGGATTAGGCACGTTTGTCTTTTGACAGAATGGCCGTTGGCATTTTACACCTTCTTTTTTCATTGTTGGTGTATTATGTTTCATTATTTCCTCTTCCAATAACGCCTTGATCGTCACTTATGCGGCGAGGCCCCACGTGAGCATGTTCCAGTGTAAAAGTCATACTGCTTCATTTAAATATCATCCGATCTTTGGAAGAACAGCACGTCAAACTGTTTGCATTCGGGCACAGCTTTGGGCTAATATTTTTTAAACAATGCACAGAAATGGATCGCTGGTGTAGTGTCAATATTTAAGGTTAACATTGACCGAGAGAAAGTGCTTTGCGTGTTCAATGTTCGTGTTTAACTTGGGAAGCAGAGAATCCAAGAAAGGATGAAAATAGGGTTGCCACGTTTATGCCATTGACTATTGTATTGCTGCATCAGGTAGTATGATCCTTTAACGTTTTTGGATATGTGTATTTCATTATATTATATATAAAACCTGAAGTAATATATCTGCTTGATCATGATGACACTGTATCATAAAGGGTTATAACCTTCTTTGTCGTAAACCCACTGCGCACGCACATAAATGAATTGATTTTATATATATTAACTGTTTGATTGGCATTCTAGAAGTTGGCAAATAATTAAGAAAAACGCACAACTTAATGGACAGCATCTTCTGGTTTATTGCTATATGCAATAAATCAGAAGTTGTAATCCATAAAGTTGCACGTTTTTCTTAATGATTTTATACATATATTTCAATTTTCATATGCATCTGTGGAATTGATGATACATTACCTAGGCGTACGTTTTTTGCAGCATCTTACTATCCATAGTTCGTATTTTTAGTTTTACAGATTTTATTGTCTATCCAAACGTTCGAGACGTTCATATTTTGATATTTGAACTTGTCAGAGAGTGTTGTTTCTCCATGCAAAATTGTAGTCGATCGAATTTCATCTGTCTTTAAACCCGTACTATTGACAGTAACATGGATGCATGGCGACTTTTAATTGATAACAACTTCTTTATTCTTTGTAACTGCGTTTAAGGGCTACTTCTACCCTGATGATTTGGTTAGTTGGTTGGTTGGTTGGTCGGTTTGTTGTTTAACGCCGCACTCAGCAATAGTCCAGCTATATGACGGCAGTCTGTATATAATCGAGGGGAACACCTCTCATGGTCTCTACAAATTGTATTTGATCTAAGGGAGTTGAACCCGTATCAACGAGTGAAGGTTGGAACACTCTCCAGTACTGTCCCTTTACAACACAAATTTCGCCGTACACATTGAACGTTTTATATGTTTGTCATATGTGGACGATTCACGAGGTATTTTTTATTCATATTTTTCTCATCTCATTTGCATCACATAATTATTCCTGTGTGTTTTTTCGACCCTTCATGGTTCAATTTGATTAAACTCAGTTTTTTTAGGCCCCTTTATTAATACACATTCAGTGACAGAACCCTGCGTCCCTCACGCTTGTACAGGTACACGTATTGCGTATACGTATAATTAGCTCAATACATTGTCGCTTTCATCTCAACCAGCAGGTGCTTCATGTATGCTGTTTTGTTGCAGGATATGAATAGCACACGAACAGCCCTCGAAGTGTCAACGCAAGGTGCCAGTAAAGCACTATTTAAGATCGACTATGACGCATGGCGACAGTGCAATGAGACCGTGCTGCAGAAGCCATACCCGGATGACGGTAAGTCCTCACCCATAGTCACTCCTTGCGAAGCCAGATACGGCTTCCCTGCCAACAGTATGACACATAGACCTACTTAATTTCGGGTGACGTATCTTGGCATCTGTATTAGCAGTTACTGCTTACATTTGCCGTTACTGTGCTCTTAATTAATGCAAAATCGAGAGCTTGTACCAGCACATGTTTAATTTCTTTGCTACACCAGCTACATTAAAATAGCATGGACGTTAACAAGTTTTTGTCACGTGAGTGTAGTTAGAATGTCCATGATCAGGTGGACGTCAATGGGAGAACGGTAACCCGTGACAAAGTTTTGACACGGGAGTGTAGTTAGTATGTCCATGACCAGGTGGACGTCAGTGGGAGAACGGTAACCCGTGACAAACTTTTGTCACGTGAGTGTAGTTAGTATGTCCATGATCAGGTGGACGTCAATGGGAGAACGGTAACCCGTGACAAAGTTTTGACACGGGAGTGTAGTTAGTATGTCCATGATCATGTGGACGTCAGTGGGAGAACGGTAACCCGTGACAAACTTTTGTCACGTGAGTGTAGTTAGTATGTCCATGATCAGGTGGACGTCAATGGGAGAACGGTAACCCGTGACAAAGTTTTGACACGGGAGTGTAGTTAGTATGTCCATGATCATGTGGACGTCAGTGGGAGAACGGTAACCCGTGACAAACTTTTGTCACGTGAGTGTAGTTAGTATGTCCATGATCAGGTGGACGTCAATGGGAGAACGGTAACCCGTGACAAACTTTTGTCACTGGAGTGTAATAATTTTTTTATTTGTATGTCCATGATCATGTGGACGTCAGTGGGAGAACGGTAACCCGTGACAAACTTTTGTCACGTGAGTGTAGTTAGTATGTCCATGATCAGGTGGACGTCAATGGGAGAACGGTAACCCGTGACAAACTTTTGTCACTGGAGTGTAATAATTTTTTTATTTGTATGTCCATGATCATGTGGACGTCAGTGGGAGAACGGTAACCCGTGACAAACTTTTGTCACGTGAGTGTAGTTAGTATGTCCATGATCAGGTGGACGTCAATGGGAGAACGGTAACCCTTGACAAACCTTTGTCACGGGAGTGTAGTTAGTATGTCCATGAACAGGTGGAGCAGCAGCCGAATGAAGAGTCACAGCTACGTACATGTGTTGCGCTGTTTACAGTTTTGTTTGTTTGTTGTCGCATTAAGATGATAAGAAAACTTAAGAAATAGCATAGGGGATGTTTTTTTCCAAACGTCAACCGAAGATTGCTAGCTAACGGCTGGTTCTGGTCCTGTCGTATGCGTCGCACTATCTCATCCCAGACATGTTCTGTGGGTGAGAGGTCTGGAGAAACAGCCGGCCATGGCAGTATAGCATGTTATGCAGCCTCAAAATGTCCGTTACAACACGTGCAACATGTGGGCGGGCATTACCCTGCTGCAAAGTGACGTTCTGTCCCTACATTTCCACAAAGGGTAGAACATTACTCGAACGATGTCGGCCTGGTAGTGTACGCCATTCAAATTGCCATTAATAATGATGCGTTGTGATGTCACTCCATACCACTGGTAACCCTTCCAACCCGAAGCTGACGACGTTGAGTAACGCACGCGTCGCTGAAACGTTCTCCTGGACGCTTGTAGACCCTTGCACGGCCATCAGAGCTGTCCAGATGAAACCTGGACTCATCTGTGCTGTATACCGTCCCGATCTTGTCTTCTAACCCTCCGATGCTGTCGTCACCAAGCTAGACGTGCCTAACAGAGACGTTGAGGCAAAACTGGCCACATCGGTGGACGTCGGGGCCGGATCTTGTGCTCTCTAAACCGGTTCCGTACCGTTCTGCTAGTAACTGGTCTCAACCCAGGAATTGTCCGAGCTGTTAATGTGGAAGTTTGGTATCGATTCCGTAGCATAGACGTGCAACTGTAAATCACGACCTTAAGTGAGTGAGTTAAAATTTTACATCGCATCGGCAATACACGACTTTAAAGTCAACGGTATATATTTTTTTTAAACTTTTAGGAAAGCACGGCTACTTTTTTTTCGTTTTTTGTTAGTATTTTTTCAATTAGTCGTAGCAATTTCCCAGTGAGGCTTTTACTTTCGAAATATCATGCCGAGTCTGTGAATATAATCACAATACCGATGTCTATATCATTGCAAGACTCGAAAGTATTTTCCAAACAGCAATATATATGCACACTTATTTAGACATTCTTTTAAAACTAAATCACAAAGAATGGTTCCAACTCACTTATTAAACCACACAAACATAGCTGAAAATGTTATGAAATGACAGTAACTGTATCAACCCTGAAATCATTTTTATCGATTTGAAGGATTTCAGATGATTACAATCTGAGGACACGGTGCATTACTTTAGGTTAAAGTACGGCTTGTCGGGACGCCCTTGTCGAGTTTTGACCAATAGTTTTAGAACGTTCTTTTAGAATCTTCTTGAAGTGTTGATAATGTGTTTCGGGTGGCTCCTCTTAATGTTACAGGGTCACTGGTGGCCCAGTCGTCTAAGGCGTTGCGATTCGCTGTGCAGAGTTGCGTCCCTTGAGCACGCTAGAAACCTATGATTGTGGGTTCGAATCCCGGTTCGCCCCGATTATGTTTCTAGGTTTGTCAGCACCATACCCGTGCTCATGGTTTTCACCGAAGTGGTAAACGTCTGAGACCTGCGTCACTTTGGGCTTTCCTCCCACAATAAGCTGACACGACGCGATATAACAGGAATACTGTTAAAAGCGGCGTTAAACCCAACTCACTCACTCACTCTGAATGTTACAAGGTGGCTACGCGTCTAAGGCTCTGGAATTCGCAACATTACAATTCTATGTAAGTCAGGTAATACCCTAGATATCGTTGCAATCCTATCATTAAAACACTATTACCTACAAACAGCACAGCAGAAAACCAAAGATTCATATTGGTATTCTCAGCAAGTTTGATTCATATAGTTCAAATGCCACTTTATTTGAGCAGTACCTAAATAAGTATTAAACGTATCTATCGACCTCAATGCTATTAAGTATCCTACGTGTACCTGTACTGAGACCATTATTTAATGTCCCACGTGGTACTAATTCTCGACATAGGTTGAACATATTCAATCGACAGCACCACATCGGGTAACACGTCCACCCATAACCCCTGCCTCGACGTTTTTAGGAATTATACCTCCTGGCCAGAAGTATTAAAATCACCTTAATGTAGCTTTTTTGGGATACTATCATGAAGTACATGTAGCAAATATCGTCCATTTCTCTTCAGCTAATAACGAAGTATGAAGTAGTAACCTCACACCTTCAGAATTACTATAAACATCAATAACCCAACCGAGCTGAATAGCGATTATCTTGGTCTTATGTCTTGGGCATTGAGAGAATGGAGAGCCGCGTAGATTATAGCTGACGGAATCCACTGGAATGAGGTGGTCAAGCACGTTGGAGATAATCCCTGCAGTCCATCATCTCCCAGGGGATTACCATTTACGTCCGAAAGTTAATTTCCATACATGTTTGAAGTGACCATCCATTTGTCCGGGAGAGCATTCGTTGCTGAGCCATCGACATTGATGAAAGGATTGACTGTGGTCGTTCATTCTTGCGGAATTAGCCTGTATGGGATCCAGTAAATTGAGTGGGGTTTCATGATGGCAGAACATGATGTATTATACAAGGGCGGAACAATATCGGTGGATGATAGGAATCCATTTCAAAGACAAAGATGGTTTGTCTTTATCTCAAAATGAAATCCGTTTGGACAACAGCTTAGTATCACAGTTCGGAAAGGGTAGGCTATTGAATGAAAGGAGTTCTGATCGATCAGGTTCAGGATAGATGAAAAGGTATATTAAAGTGACAAAACATTAGGCTCGGCGGTAGGTCATTTATACTTTAGGACGAACCATCATGCTGTAATGTCTTGAATATATTCAAAAGGGTACAGGGGCGGTCGGGTAGCCTAGTGGTTAAAGCGTTCGCTCGTCAGGCCGAAGACCCGGGTTCGATTCCCGACATGGGTACAATGTGTGAAGCCCATTTCTTGTGTCCCCGCCGTGAAATTGCAGGAATATTGCTAAAAGCGGCATAAAACCATACTCACTCAAAACGGTACAGATGACCTTGTCTTATTGCGACACCTTGCAAACTAATTTAGAATAACCTATAATGTAATTAACAAATGCTATATTTGGGATAACACTCTCAGTAAAGTACAACTTCTCGTAATCCAATCCAGGATTCGAACCCATACTCTCAGAATAAGGCACCTAATCGCTAGCACACAAATCAGCAGTCAAACCTGCTCAGTCATGGGCCACCGAGACATCCACAAACGTGAAGTCCGACGACTGGAAGTCCCTTACTTTGTGGACCTCTTTGATTAGTCTAAATTGGCACGGCTCCCATGGCCGAAAGCTATGAATACACAATGCCTTTTTAGAAAGTGGTCGAACGTAACATGTTATATAGCCCAAAACAGATTTATTCTCGACCAAGAAATTTAAGTGTTTTTTCCCAATGTAACATTTGTAACATGTGACCCCTTTCTAAAAAGGCATTGTGTATTCATAACCTATAATTTCATTACATGTTTTGCGCAAAGCGTAAATTGGTAATTACTTTTGTTCCCTTGCTTAACCTTAATAGCGATCCTTGATCTGACAGCACCATACTTGTTGTCGTGGACTGCGTCACATTGTGAGCCTTTGCATAATTGCATTTAATTTATTAGATCTGTAAGGTTGTAATACACTGGACATGTGACCCAAACATAATCTTTCAACTGCACTATGGGCTATGTGACCCGATTGCGATATAAACATGACTTGAGAAACAAATTACACGATATGCTAATTTTATGTTTTATCCGGTCATTTGCAGAATCTCTACTTAAACATGATACGTGATCTCAAAATGTGTCACACTCTTGTACACATTGCCAAGACAGATACCAACATGCCAGGCTACAAATAATGAAACGATTTG